TGTTTGTGAAATTTTTCTATAATTCAATGTCCTTCTCTTACTTTCTTGCTTCCTGAGTGTCCTGGTTTCGGCAGGGATAGAGTTAAGGCTATATTGTTCTTCTAGCAACTGGAACATGTATGAACATGCTGCCCCCTCCACTTCTCTTCCAGAAGATGACCCAGTTTTGCCATAAAAGACACAACCCATTGAGAAATAATATGGGCTATGTGTCCATAATGTGTCCTTACGCTCCTGCCTCTGGTTGGAAGGAACGTGTCAAACAGTGAAGACTTTGATGATCCTGCCTGTCCAGGAGTTGAAAAATGTGGTGATCTCCAACATAAATGGTGAAGAAACACGTACTCAGATGCTGAGAAAAAACCAGTACAGATGATTAAGGAAAGCTCCACCAATTAATTAATTAATTCCCTTTGTATTGCTGGTCTTTTGTACTCATAACCAGTAATACAACAGTCTACTTTTTTCCTTCAGTTTTTCTTTGACCCTTTTGCTCTCGCTGTCCTGCACTTAGTATGTGTCAAGTTTGTCTTCCACTTTAGAGAGTGTGAGTTACTTCATGCCCTATTCTTATGCAGTGGGATCTTCTTAGGCTTTGTTCAAACAATGTTGGAAAAGAATTTGGTAGCTAAATTCTCTTACACCATTAAGGCTGATGTCTGTCACTTCAGCTTTTCAAACCTGAGTGTCTATATATCAATGAAGAAGTTCAAATTTAGAAGCCTTGCAAAAGTGATTTCTACAGAAAATGGGTTTGGCAAAATATGTACTTTCAGGACAACTTTTCACACACACGCACACACAGAGAGAAGCTGAGATGTGTTAAAATGAACATTTTTACTTGGAAAGATGAGGTTTTCTATTCAGGTCTCTTTTTCTGCCCTTTAAAATAGGTGATCTAGGAATCCATATGAATGTAAGATGTACTTGTAGTTATACCCTTACTGTGATTATGTTTCAACAAACTGTGTTTTGATGAAACTATTAGCAGAAATTTCCTTCATTTTTGGAGGAACTGATGTTAACTGCTCCTGAGCTTTCATAAACACATATATACTATCACAATAAAGTGGAATTTCTGTCCATGCTGTATTTTAGATTCATTCAACATATATCTTTGCAACAACTTGAAGATAATAGAAACCCCATTTTTCATCTCTGAGCTTAGTGTAGCGTTCCAGGTGTCAAAAAGAAAAAAAAAAAGAATTCCATTTCATAGGATAGAGGTAAATAATCCAAATGCTAAGTGTAGGTATCATCATTTTAACTCTCCCTCATGTAACAGTTGCAACAACTGTTCTAAGAGGTTTCACTGCTTAAGTAAAAAGTAAGAAGGTGTATGCAAAGAGAGCTCAGTGAATTGGCCTAAACAGCAAAATTGGGCTTGTGTAAGACACTTGCAACCTGCCATATCAGATACACTGTTTTAGGCATGACTAACAGTTGCATTTCCATATCTCCACAGATTAAGCCACACGAAGATGAAAGAAAATGAAGTGTAATGAAGAAACTATGCCCTTTTAAAAGATGTATATTTTGGTTTAAGTAGCTACCCAGTTTAATGTTGAAGTCCTGCCTTCCATTTTTATATGCACATGCAGAGGTATAAAGAACCGTCATACAAGATGCCTGGTTGCCAGTATGTACATGTGCATGTATATGTTGGTGTGTACATGTAGTGTTCACTTCAGGAAGGTGTGTGAGGAATGAGCTGTATCTGTGTACTATTGATAGGTTTTCCTATTTCTTAAAATCATGTTCTGATGGGCATTGAAAATAGAGTCCATAGCATGTTTTCCAGAATTTCAGTTATGAAAATTCCAGCTGTGCATATGGGTATGCAAATCAGAGAAGGATCCTGTAGTGATCTGTCAATTACACAGCACATCTTTGCATTTCTTGCCTTGAGCTAATGACTAGAATCAAATTAGTGTTTCATTACTTGGAAAAGAGGCCAGACTGTGATTTAGAAAACAAATGAGGGCTGTTGTCCTTTTTTCTCTGAATTACTCATTGATGATTTTTTATCATTATGATGGATTTTATGATTTACCAGTCATCTATAGGTTACTTTAGTACAATATATTGATATTATCACAAAACTGAAGTTCTGACTGTGACCCCTTTTCTTAACCATTTTGTTCAGGGCCTTTTCTGTGTATGGCTTCATCAGTGTCCAATAGTCCACAGTCCCATGCAGTGTAACAGAAGTAATTTTCTGTCTGTCCATTACAAAGAAATGTAAAGGCCATATACCTTGTTAAAATATAGTCATTATGTTGGAATTTTATCATACTTCTCCTTCAGGGAACAGAAATTACATCACATAGTAGTTTACGAGGAATTTGCTCCTTGGGCAAAAAGAAAGGCTTCTGATTAAACGAGTAAATTACAGAAATCCAGAAAGGTCATTTTAGTGGAAAAGAGCTTTGTTTCAAATGCTGGCATCTTTGTTTTATGCTACCTTTGAGCAGTTTCCTAGAAAATCTTGTATTTTTTTTTTCTGGATCCTCAGTGAAAAGAGCTACAAGACAACATGATTTGTATCATCTCACTCTGCTAGTGTTAGAACAGGATGAACTTTGAACTTTGCTTGTTTCCTGATTTGATTTACTGTACCAGATTTTAAATAGAGCTGCCAGTGCCTCTAAGTAGCATTGGTGTGTGTGGAAATAGTCGGGATGTTTTAGAAGGGTCTGATAAGAGGAATTTCAGACTTTCTTCAGGTTGCAAATTGGTAAGTTTAAGATGGGGGAATCAAACCAACTTCTGGCTTACAAACAAAACAGAGAAAAGAGAAAAATGCCTACTCTCAGATAAGATGCATGACATCAAAGAATCATGACCCTAGTAACTATTATTTTCCATCTAGTACATGGTTTTTTTTTTTCCCCAAAACAAATCAATCTTATCAATTTTATCAATCTTATTTAATAATTTATCAAATAGAACAACAAGGATTTAGTAAACTGTTTATAAAAGCATTTTAAAGATATTTTTAATATGGCAAGTTAGTTAGCTGGTTGGTTACAGAAAGAAAGGTCTACCAGAAAATTGACCCTATAAGGTGCCTTCTAGCATTTCTGTCTACTTTCCTTCTTAGGTTCCAAAATGCATGTTCATGCACAGGTAACTTTTTCATCTAACTCTATGTAAAGAAAGCTTTGAAAGGAAGACCCAGTTAAAGAGTCTGAAAAATAGCACAGGAATCTCTTTCAAATCTCATGTCCACTGAGGAACATGGTCAGGTTGTTTATTCATGAGGGGGGAAATGGAAAAGAAAGAATGCAATGTAAACTGAATTATGTGATAGGGGCTGTTCAGGGTACCCCTGCTAAGCAGCCATGTACCTTTTAGCTCAGCCTGGATCAGGACAAAATACATGTTTTATGGGTTGACCATACCCCATGTGTCTTGCTTGTTCCTGTGGTCAGAGATATCTGAGTTTTTTTCCCTAAGGCCAGTGAGGGGACACCATGGGGAGGCAGAGGATAGACCAAACCTCCCAACATGTGTGTTTCATGGTGCTAAGCTGGGAACCACCATTTTTCACAGATGGTGAAAATGCCACGTCATGGTGTCATTGCCATGCCCTGAATTTTCACCAGCTCTGTTAAATGCCATACAAAATTTTTCTGCAAGCCACTGCTGTCACCTGTGGAACAATTTATGTCATAAGGGGAAGAAAGACTCCAACAGAAATAATTCTTTAACTTGGTATTTTAAAATCTTTTGAAAAACCCAATTCTGGCACAAACTCAGTTTAAATACAGATACATTGCTTCAAACAGATTGACTGTGACAACATAAAAACCGGATATTTTAAATCAGAATGGGCTTAGTCAACACAAGGCTCAAGCCATATATATTTCAGTGATGATCACTTTAAAAGAGCGTAAACTCCCACTGCAACTGAAAAGGATCATAAAGTTCCAGTCCTAATGTAACAATAATGTTCTGAGTTTTGGACTCTGCCAAAATATATGATTTGTCCAAGAGATTGTAATTTATTTCGAAAGCTGAAGGAATTCCTGTGTAGAAAAAAATTACAGGGCACAGCTTATCAAAATTGAGACACTTCATGGAGATGTGCAATTTCTAGAAACTTCTAAAGAGAATTTCAAGCCATATATTTAAACATTGGTGAACTATTTTCTCAATAATACTAATTAATTAATTTTAATATTTTAGTAATTTAATGACATTTGACCACGTTTAAATGACACAAATATGTGCTTCTGATTTGAGGAATCTATTCTCCATAACAAACCCCGAAATATTAACCTTTCAATTCATTCTTCAGAAAAGTCTGATATCAAGGAAATTCTTTTTCCTATTAGCTCTATCACAGGATTTTTGGAGAGTTTTCCAATGTACCTTTTTGTTGGGAACACAGGCACTGATTACTAGTTCAGCAATAGCAGGAAGCTCAAAAGGCTGTGTCTTTCTTTACTGAAATATACTGGAATCTTAAAGATGCTTGTAAAATCAACAAATATTTTTCTACTTATAGAATCAACAAGCAGTCGAAACTGATCGGTAAGAAATTCCCAAATTCTTGGGAATTCCTTAGCATCCTCATTATGCACTTGTACTAACCAGAAACGGCCTTCAAGCTTCATATTCACATATAAAATTCGAGCATGCCTGTGCTTAAGCAGGTCTGTTCTGTTAGTATCATGAAAGTCTGATTTGTAACTTAAATCATTTCAAGTGATTACATTATTGTCTGAGTCTTGGCCTTGTTTTTCTGCTGTCTTAGAGAAACAGTGGTGATTTCCAAAGAAAGTACAGCAAGTACAGGACTTATATTCTGTAGGCAATAATCTTTTAAAACAGGAGAGAATTATTCATTACAAGGATCACATCCAAGTAAAGCAAATTCCCAGCTTCTTCATGATTCCAGATCAGGGCCATAATCTACCCATTCATGCTTCTATTATTTTATACCTCTGGTGACTTCAATTTAATTAAATTGGATCTAAACTAGAAAGCCCAGGCTAGCTTAAAGGTAAAAAAATGTTGGATAAAATGAGAACAAAAGAAATAAAATATGTAACATAGAGGATAAGGAAGGAAAAGACTAACTTGATGGCACCAATATGGGCCTCTAGGCTGGGATTTCTGAAGCCAGTTGCATTATTTTGCATTTGTCTGGCGTGTATCCACAGAGACCTAATCAGCAGGATACTTGAAACAACAAAGACTATTAAAGGCAAAGCTATGCCATCGTTACAGAGAAGAATCAATAAAAACAAACCAGCTTTCATTGTGACTCTCCTTTCTGAAGAGTTTGTCATGGTTAAAGGAGCAGTGAAATTGTCATGCACATTGTAGATATCCCAGGCGAAAGGAAGAGAGGTTGCAAAGGAGAAAAGAGATGATGTTATCAGCATCCAGAGCACGAGACTGGGAATTCTTTGCTTCAGCCAGATGAAGAAAGACTGAGTAAAACTAGCAACCTTGGTACAGTAGAAGACACTAAGCCAGGCAGCAAACCAGAGGCTGGAATAGTTCAGAAACATAAAAACTGTCTTGAAAATTACAAGTTTTCTTCATTATAGGTGGTTTCGCAAAACAGACTTAGGAGCAAATCCAGCATCATCCAGGACTGCAAAAAGAAACTGGATAAACTCAGAAAGATCATAATCATATCATACGAGGACAATATTTTGCTCCTGATGCAGCCAGTTGAACTGACAGCCAAGATAGTTCAATTTCCTATTATTCAATTATAGCAATTGTTAGAAAAAGGAGAGAAAATAATGTGGACATAGCAACTCAAGAACTCACAATTTTTACTCAGCTTTTCATGGGCTCCTGAAAGTCTTAGATCTGCAGGGCAATGCCAAGCCCAACTAGCTGTTATCAGCACATGCTCACCTATTTATTTCAGAGGAAGAAGTATCATAATAAGTCATTTAATATTGATGTTATTTTATATTTTTTTGATGATTAATAGCTCAGCTGCTTTCTCTAAGCATGCAAATTGGATAAAGATTCAATTATGGTCTTTTCAATTCAGAGAAAGGATTTGTATTTAAAAAGGTCAGATGCATTTTTAACAATGTGTTGTAATCCAGTTTTCACAGAACCCTCTGAATTTATGTATGTAAAGATGGAGAAGACCTTCAAGTGTGTGTATTCTCTTTCATGCTAGGATTAAGCCCCATACCCCTATCCCCCATACCCCTATCTGAGGGGAGAGAAAGATCATTTCAGTATCAGAAAATGCAAGAAATATAAGACATTTTCAGAAAATACACAATGAACTAAATTTTGTACACAAATGCCTGAAGTCTCTTAAACCTGTTTGAGAAGCCTGATCTGATTTCCATGTCTGGCCATCATGCAGTTAACATTCTTCCTCTTCCCTCACTCCTGCAACTGTTTGGCAAGAATTCTCACTGTGGGTCCTAGGTTTACAGAAAATACATTCACAGCTTGGCTACTATGTGCTTGATTTTTCCTAACAAAACAAAGTATTCAGACCTTGGTTCAACTCCACTTATGGACTTGTAATGGAATAGCTAGTGTTACCTAAGGAGAGCATCCTACCCATCAGGGAACTGGATGCTTCAGTACACTCATTTTACAGTCTTCCCCCCTCTTCCCCCTGAATCTATGGTGTTTTGTTTATGTATTGACCAGTCAGAAGTGCTAGCCCCTAAGCATTAAAGTTCTGCAGCCAGCAGCCTAACTATACCTTTAAGGACCAATCACACCAAAGCCAACTGAAGAGAAAGGTATGGTTTATACTGATTGGCAGCTCATTCCTACCAGCTAATTGATGAAGCAAGCACACAGTTTGCTCTTGCTGATCATCATGTCATGATGTGGATCTGATCTACTGCCTTGTGTCTTTGCTTTGACTGTTGCCAGCCCACTTCTTGTCCCTGTTTTTATTCACCCACCATGCTGGAGCATAGTGGTCTGGAGGATACGTTACTCACTCTGGCCAGAAGAGAATCTGGCCAAGCCTTCCACCTTTCAGTTAAATGTCCTAACTGCTGTATAGTAGAGGAAAAAACATAGGGACCCTGCCTCCTTTCCCATGACAAAAAGGCATTGTAACTTCAGAAATGATTTGAAGGTGACATTACCAAGAAGAACAGGAATCTCTCTACCTTGAAAAGGTACTTCAGGGTGAATAGTACTCTGGATGGGAAAGTATCTACATCTCTTTCACTCCATTGAGAGAGGTTTGGGCATTTTCTTTCCTTTTCTTCCTTTGTGTCTGTTCAATGGTCACTGGGAAACCAGGTGCTTTCCTTAGCACTGGCAGTGGAAGAGGTGAGACACCAGACATAGTGACATTCTAATGCTATGAAATGCAGGCATGTCTAGGGTTATGCAGCAGCTGAACTGGGGTTTTTACAACTACAGTTTTGAACTCTGGTGTCTGATGTCCCACTTTACACGCCTATATTTGTATTTTATATCTGATGCCTAAACCTCTCCCTGCATTGCACAATTATCACTTCTGAGTTTATGAGAAATACTTACCATGGCCGCTTCTACATTAAGAAACAAAATGGGTGTCCTTATACTGGTGGCTCAGGTCAGCTCCTTATCTTTATCAGATATATTAAAATGGTTGTTACAAAGAGAATTATCATGTTTTTCTTATGTGTGTGGAGATTTTTAAACATTACAATTATCGTCACATGCTTGTTCTGAGTGTCTCAAACTAGAATAATAAATTTGTAGGAAGATAGGAACAGGAAAAATGAAAATTATTTTACCAAAGAACTACACCAGTCCATTTTGCTCTAGTCTTCTGAAAAAATCCATTTTGCTTCAGTCTCCTGAAAAAATACAAAATTCACCTGAGGAATTTAAGATCTGGAAATATACAGCATTAAATACAGGAGAAATGGCACAAGTGTTAATAGAGTCAGAGTCTTGCTCCCATATGGAATATGTATACTTTTAAAATTCTGTTGTACTTGCTAAAAGGAGTGAATTCAAACACTTTCCACATAAAAGAAGAAAAATTTTAAGGGTCTTCTAAGTGAGCAGACAGGTTTGGGTTTAGTGAAAAGTTTTGGGAAGGATGTTTTATATGTAGGATAGAACACTGAAGAAAAAACACAAAGACTTTTTAGAAGCGAAGTGATACAAATTGCTGTCAGTAGTACAGTAGAAGGTGTGGGCAGTTATCAAGGGAGAAATTTTGTAATACTTTTTTCAACACTGTCTCTTTGTGTGGTTTGAATTTACAAATGCTTTAATGTAATCTATGATTGCCTAGGGCAGTGTTGTGGTTTCACCCCAGCCGGCAACTAAGCACGACACAGCTGCTTGCTCACTCCCCCTCCCCCGGTGGGATGGGGGAGAGAATCAGAAGAGTAAAAGTGAGAAAACTCATGGGTTGAGATAAAGACAGTTTAATAGGTAAAGCAAAAGCTGTGCATGCAAGCAAAGCAAACCAAGGAATTCATTCCCTATTTCCCATTGGCAGGCAGGTGTTCAGCCATCTCCAGGAAAGCAGGGCTCCATCACGTGTAATGGTTACTTGGGAAGACAAACACCATCACTCCGAACATCCCCCCTTCCTTCTTCTTCCCCCAGCTCTATATGCTGAGCATGATGTCATATGGTGTGGAATATCCCTTTGGTCAGTTGGGGTCAGCTGTCCTGGCTGTGTCCCCTCCCAACTTCTTGTGCACCCCCAGCCTACTCGCTGGTGGGGTGGTGTGAGAAGC